ACTCTGTCTCAAAAATAAATAAATAAATAAATAACCAGTTTAAGGGGTTTGGGGTGGTGATGGTATCTTTTTAGGCACATGACTTTTTCAGAGTAAAGTTAAGAGTCTGCAGAACCCAGACTGAGTTTTTTGTTTGTTTTACCATATGTGGAGAAACAATTTTCTGCCTTGACTTCTCAGGCATTATTCTATTCCAGCAAAAATGTTTTTTATTTTACTGAACATCTTTGAATGGAATACAGTCTTACTAATTAAAATCAGCAATAGTTTTGTACTTAGTATCATTGGCCCTTTTCATTCTAATGAAGAGATAGTGATATGTATCTTCCCAGAGATTTGGTTGCTTAAAAAAATTTTTTTTAATTGAAATTATTTCTTACCAATACCCTGAGTTTTGAGGTTTTTCAAGTATTGAGACACATCGGCATAACTCCACATTTGCCACTCTTATCCTTTAACCATTTTTAAAATTGAAATTTAGGCCAGGCGCGGTGGCTCACGCCTGTAATCCTAGCACTCTGGGAGGCCGAGGCGGGCGGATTGTTTGAGCTCAGGAGTTTGAGACCAGCCTGAGCAAGAGCGAGACCCCGTCTCTACTAAAAATAGAAAGAAATTAGCTGGACAACTAAAAATATATAGAAAAATTAGCCGGGCATGGTGGCGCATGCCTGTAGTCCCAGCTACTTGGAAGGCTGAGGCAGAAGGGTCGCTTAAGCCCAAGAGTTTGAGGTTGCTGTGAGCTAGGCTGATGCCACGGCACTCTAGCCCGGGCAACAGAGCGAGACTTTGTCTCAAAAAAAAAAAAAAAAGAATGCTCACATCTCTCCTAAGGCATAATCAGAAGCCAGTGCTTGCATTGTAGTTTTTAAATCCTATTGGATTCTAGAGAACAATGGCTATTTTTTACAAAACTACTTTTCAGGGGATCTGAGGTTACCTAGCAACATTACCATTTGGATTTTATTTTCCAAAATATTAACCTACAGTTTACTTATCTCCGTATCAGAACTATTGGGTCATAATGTTACAGCAAGTGTTACAGCAAGTGGTCCAGAGGACAAACCAAGCGGCACACAGAGAGTAGGAGGATCAAAGTTTATTCACCGGCGGGCTCAGAGGGGCCTCGCCACCAAATTCTGAGCCCCGTCTACGCGATTTTTCCCACTTTTATTAAGTTGTGGTGGTCTGGGGCGTAGGGTGTCAGGTGGTTAATGCCCACCAGGTAATAGGTTAGTTGATGTGTCAGATAGTAGATTTAGTGTTATGCTGATGTGCCAAGTAATAGGTTAGTATTATGTTGATGGTCAGGTAATAGATTAGTTGATGGGCCAGGTAATAGGTTAGTATTATGCTGATGCGGGTCTTCTGTGAGGGGTGGGGGTCTCAGGTGGCTGAGGTGCCAAGTAATAGATGGGGGTTTTTCTTGTCATTCCCCCCTTTGATGTCCTTATGTGTCTACTATAGGGCATCATTTCCCAGTGGGTGATAGCGTCATAAGGCCATTGTGTGAGCTGTTGCTCCCCAGGTTACAGTTGTCTCTATGAATTTTATAATTGTGTTTAGTATGTAGGGGCCTGTAATGGTGCCAGTCCAGTATTTCTTTCCCCGCTGTGGCACACCTGAGCCTGACTATGACATGTCTTTGGCATGTAGGTGCGGAATGTGAAACCTCCCATGGTCCAGAAGCCTCGAGTAATCCCATTAGTGGAGGGAATCCAAGTCCTAGCATAACAAGCCTCAGGGCAGAGTTTCTCTGCCATAGTTGTTAGGGCGAGTGCCCCAACCAGGAGGAGGGTAGGAGCTGAGGCAGGAGTAGACATCCTATAAGGAGCCAAAATACTGCAGTTAGAGACGCTCTCTGCAGTCCAGTCCAATCTCCCAGAGCTACTGCGAAGAGTCCAATCCCAGTAAGGTCACTATAACTCCAATGAGGGCGGGGGCCGGTGGTCCCATTTACTCCTGTTCAGTCCTGGGTGTGGCTGTCCTCGTTGGGAGACGGTTAAGCTGGATCTTTAGCAGGTTCTGCTGGTCCTGATGTGCAGTCCAGAGATCAGCTTCGTTGTCTGGTTCAGCCTTTTTCACCTGGGAGCGATGGATCCACGGAGTGATACCTGCAACTTTAACAGCAGTGGGAGTAACTAGTATCACAGTATGGGAACCCTTCCAGGTGGGCTCTAGGGGTGTTCTTTTCCAGTCCTTTATCCAGACTAGATCCCCAGGTTGGTGGGGGTGGACAGAGAGACCCAGGGTGATAGGGGTTTTTTCGAGGACGGTGTGGTGGATGTGGCGCATAGTTTTGGCTAAGGCTTGGAGGTGTGTGTTTATATTCAATTTCCCTAGTCGTCTAATGTCTCCCCTTAATCGCTTGATGAATGGGGGAGGTCTACCGAACAGGATTTCAAAGGGTGAATATCCCGTGGGCCCTGGTGTGCACCTGACTCTGAACAGGGCTAGGCTTAGCATGTCTACCCAGGATAATTGTGTTTCCTGACATAGCTTCGCTAGAGTGGTCTTGAGGGTCCAGTTCATGCGCTCTACTTTCCCTGAGCTCTGTGGCCTGTAGGCTGTATGTAGTTTCCATTTGATTCCTAGTGCCTTGGGGAGGGTTTGCATGACCTCCGCAGTGAAGCTTGCTCCGTTGTCACTGCCATAGGAGAGTGGCAGACCGTACCTGGGGATGATTTCTCTCAGTAGAAGCTTTGCCACTTCCCTAGCCTTTTCGGTCCAGGTAGGGACTGCCTCAACCCAGGTGAGAAGGTGCATATCACTACCACCAGCAGGTATTTATAGCCTCGATGTGGTTTTACTTCTGTGAAATCAACTTCCACATCCTTGAACGGAGGGGTTCCGGTGTACTGAATTTCTGGGGCGGGTCTCGGCCTGACCACTGCGTTGTTTTTAGCACAGGTCTGGCAGCGGGCGCCGACTGCTGCAGGGATGGACGGAAGTTTGGCGATGTGGTGGTACCCGGCGAGTAGCTGCGTGAGGGCTGTTTTCCCTAAATGAGTCAGGTTGTGATGTTGGGAGACAAGAGAGTATGCTAATTTATTGGGGATAAAGATGTTATGGTTCTGTAGGTGCCACCACCCGTCTGCATCCTTCTTGGCCTTCTCCTGCTCTGCCCACTGGTTCTCTTCTGGGGTATATTTTGGTTCTTT